GGAAACTGGAATGACAATTTCTGGCTCATTAGTCGTCATCAGCCAGTCACGATCTACCTCAAGTGAGGCCCCACCCAAGGCTCGAACCCGCGACCTTTTGATCAAAAGTCTAAGGCTCTGACCACTGAGTTACGGGCTCGTTGTCTTGCCGATGTAGATCGGGAGCTATTGAAACTCGTTAATGAACGTTCACCGATCGCTTACGGAAATTACTCGTTAAACTCTGCCTTGGGGCTCATTCGCGAGCCCCGCCAGCAGCTATACTGTGGCTAGGAATTTAGGTAGATAGCATTGTCTATAGCATTGCGTCACTTGGGTTTGAGTATAACTGGCGGATGACGGCTAATAAGCCAGAAATAGCTATTCCAGTCTTTCTTGACTTTATCGGCAATGCTCACTGCCTAGACTAATAACCACTGTACGGCTGCTAGCGGGGTTCGAGAATGAGCCTCAAGGCAGAGCGAAACGAGTAAGTTCCGTTAGCGATCGGTGAAAGATTATCAACGAGAGTCATAAGCCAAGTCGTAAACGTCTTAATAGTAACCCATCTAGATTTTGGCACGAAGTTAACTGCAATATGGGGAAGTTCAAGCTAATGTGCTCTACATGCAGGCGGCTAGTGCTGAACTTGCAGGGTGGTCATCTTATACACGAACATACATTGGAACTTCGGTTAACGAGTTTAATCCGTTCCAGCACCGAGCTCCTCATTTAAAATTCTCGTCTTGCAAAACGTAGCCAATCAAACCACATCAATTCACTGATTGGCTGAAAGTGACTAAGGACCCACGCCCTAGGAGCAAGACTTAACAGCGGACACAGGTACGGATAGGGCAAACATATATCAGAAGCTTGCATAACTTAGGCCGTATACCACATTTCTTGTCGCATAATAAAGAATTATTCTTATATTGACTGCAGGTTCGACGATCCTCGTAAGAGGAGAGGATTTACAGGTTTTCGAACGTCCTACGACCGATAGTCATTTTCTTGTTAAGTCCAGGGGCTTGTAAAACCACTGGCTTCGATGCGCAGCATTTCCTCCTTTTTATTGTCTGCATAGTGACTTTTAACACATTCGGGGTGATTCTAATTTGTCTAAAGATTGCTCAGAATCTTCGCATAGATACATTTTAACTTGAAGCCATGAACGATGTACCATTTAAATTAAGACATTTCCGATACACGGGCGTACAGTTTTCAGGGATGCACAGAACAGTTGGGGTGAGAAGTCCTTTCTAAGACTTCCGTCTCCAAGGCAGCTCACAGGGAAGGAGTTTCAGTCTGTCTTTTTTAAGCACCTGACTGCCGTACCATTTCTTGAACTTGGTTGCTCTATCATGGGTGTTAAGAACGTTAGAGTACTGGACAATTTTTCTTAATTGCTTTAGCAAATTCTGCGTTCCTATCTGAATAGCATTGAGTGTTTCAATTTTGAACTATTTGCTAAGTAACTGTGGATAAACTGCCGTCAGCAATGGTATCGTGCGGATAAATAGCTTCGATGACGAATCACGTTTAGCAAGTGCTGTTCCGTCAAGCATTGCATCCCTTACGTCTCTAGGTAGAATAACACACTGTGTTTTGTCTTCCCCCTCAAAATGATTGGCTCATAGGATCTACCTGAAGTGCGTAAAAATACTCAATTCAGACACCTCTATAGCCTTTTTTTCAAATATATGTAAAGTGACAAGATAACATTTTCGCCCCTCACGGTCGGCAAATCTCTATGCTCATTGTTGTTATTTGCAGATGAACGGACGTATGCGTAAAAAGGGCATTATGGAAATCGACTTTGTTGTTTTTACCGGAATTTTGTCATGTGTGTTTTTGGTGCCCATAAGTGCCAGCAGTTGCTAAGCAACCAAGTAGCCTCAAGCATAGTCAGACGAATCCAATTTATTTAGCGAGACCTGGGAACAGTCCACCAAGACGATGACCTTGTTGTGATCTAATGCACCTTATCTGTGGTTGTTACTGATAATTTTTAATCTGCATAACATTTAGTCCCTAGTTTGCGTCGCATAAGCCATCTCGCATGTTATGTTTAAGATCCTGACATTGGGGAAAACTGAACGCACCCCAGAATTCTGTAATATGGGACCGATGTTAATAGGGGTTTTACAGGCGAAGCGGAGGCGTGGGTGGGATTATAAAAGAAATAAGGGAAACAAAAATAAAAGATAAAATTCTTATAAGGAGGTAATATATAGCAACAAAAAGCGAGCAATAATTAAAAAGTTAATGAAAACAAAAAATAATTAATTAAATTAAGTAAAATTATAAAATTAAAAATTAAAAAATAAATAAATTACAATTTCTACTGGCCCCGTATTACAGGATTATTGGGTTTTCGGTTTGTTTCTTTTTTCTCATAAGTACTAGAACAAAACTTTGAACAAGTATGTATAAAAGATAATCGCCCCTGTCGATTTTCTAAAATATTCGGTCTATTTTAAACTTGCCGCCTGCATTTTGAATTTTCTTCGAGAGTTAAGAAAAATACACACCACAGGGTGGCAATAAAACAAGTTTCTATATCGGTTTATGACTTTATCTAGAAAGGCTGGTAACAGTGTATTATAGTTACCGCCAGGGTAACCAAATTCCAAGAATTTTTATATACTGAACCGGTGGTAATAGTGATTATACGGGTGGGGCATTAGGGGAGCGCAGGGGAGGAAACAAAGAAATGTAGCAAACAAGAACGGAAAAGCTAGTATCTAACAATGAAAAAGCGCGTGATAATTAAAAAATAAATTAAGGAAATAAATATTAATCTAAATAAGTTAATAAAATGATAAACCAAAATAGGAAATAATTTACTATAACTATCAGTCTTGTATAATGGCATTCTGGGGATTTGGTTTCCGTGGTGGTGCTTTCAATAGGCTGTTACCCAGAGGCTCCAATACAATACCGATATATATGAAGGATAAGAAAGCCAACGTCGTTAACTCTTCAACAGTTGACCCTTTGAACTGTGTTTTTTCTTTTTTTTGTCGAACAGAATTATTTTAAAAGTCATCTAATTTCTGAGCCTCAGTTATACTTTGACGAATGAGGGGATACCTAACCCAGTTATTGCGTCAAATTTAAATCAGTAGAGACTCTGATTGATTAGGTCGGAGCTAACTATCATCAGTTAATCACCAGCAAGAGTTGCCTGGAACGTCGTCAAAACGATACCAGTGCCATTAAAAGATCTTGCTGTTTTAGATCTGTAGCAGAAGCGATTTCCTTTTTATCACAAGACCTTATCGATTCGGAACACGAACCTTTGGCCTTCTGGTCAGAAGCTCGGGTCATAGACATCCCAACGATAAGGACTCAGTTTGTTTCTGACGCAAAGGGATAGGTGTTCAATTCCTTTTTTTCTCCTGGCAGACACTTCTCACATCGAATGAGTACAGTGTCATGAGACGCTAGTCTATATTCACACCCGTGGGCCGCGGTTTTAAGATGTTGGTTTCATATGTTAATCAGACAATTCAGTTAACTAGAATTGTTGCAACAATAGAGTCTGCTTCGTTTTGGTGCAATAGTTAGTCCTTATTTTCAAAAGTGTTATACATTACGGTCGGCATTTCATGTAAAATCCCGAATTTGCGAAAGATTGATGATTACTCACAAAAGACATGAAACGGGGTTGTAATACTGATTATCGTACAGTCTAATCTCAAGTCATATCAGTCACGACTGGAGCCGGCTTTTTTAAAGAGCTTCTTTCTGACAGCGTATAAGAAGTATGTTTTGTAAAAATGGCTAATTAAGGAGTATGCATTTAACTCATTGATGTTGACTGCCCTTGTATATGCAAACATATTTTATGGAAAACGTTCACAAAATTATTCCTTCTTGTACTCGTTTGGTAGAAAATTACGACTTCTTCAAACTTCATACATAAAGGAAAGGTATAGTTCGATTGTAAAAAGTTTCTTAATTGCCGAATAGTTTTGTAACCCCTCGACCGTTACGACTGAAATTCAAGGTTTCCAAACTT